TGAAAAAAGATGTTTTGTTATCGATGACGATTTTCTATTTCGACGGTGATACTCCTTAACGTATCTTGGTTGGGCGACGTTGTAAACTTTCTGTCATACTTCATTTTTCAAATAGAAATGACATAAAGTTATCCTCCCTGATTTTTTTCTCTGGTACAACCAAAATTCTTTGAAAACTTAAAGGAATGATGCTCATTTTTCCCCCTTAAAAAAATTACATCGGAGTGGAGATTTTGAAACGATGCAAATGAGATACATGCTTTGGGAGTTTTTCCGTCGATTTCGCGATTTGATCCCTAATAAAAACAATTGGACGTATTTATGCTAAAATGAACTATGTCACATGCAATCCTTATGCACATAGTTTCTTTTAGCATAAATACGTCCAATTTTTAAATAAAACCGCAAACTTCAAGTAAAACAATTGTTCTCTCCAAAGTATAAGGTACCTATAAAAACTTCTTTGGAGCAAAAATTTTAAAACATAAGTTTGTAACCATTCTTCAAGTGCACGTATACGTAAATTAACAAGAATTCCTGAGTTATGACGTAGATCGATTTTTCGCTCAAGAAAAATGAATGGAAAATTCGTGACGGCGGACCGCAATTTGAGGAGATACGTCTTTTCACAATCTAGCTATCAGCAGCTCTCAATTCGTGAGCTTCTAATTGCCTCTAGTTGCGTGACGTACTTTACGATACATCGATTAATCCGTCATTTAGACCTCTGGAAAAGGATCGATAAACCGGGTATTCGCAACAAGCACCTTTATAATCGATTCTTTGCCATAGCTTCAAATGGGAATATATCGATAATCGATCATTAAAGCCGCGCCACTGCATCTCCATCGTCATGCTTCCAGAGGAATGAACACTGACTAAATAGTTGCAGAAGCTATTACAGCACGATTTGCGCCGTATTAGCGATGTAAGAAAAAGTCCATCCATTGATTTGAAGAAATAATGTCACTCGGTTAAAGAAAAGTTCGGTTTTAGCTGCGCGCAAAATCGTGCTAATTTATCATTTGGGAAATGTGATGTCTCCAAGAATGGAGCGTGCAGGACTAATCCATTCTACCATACCGAGGAAAAACGCTGTATGGACAGTCCAACGTTGTCAAATCCTTCCTGATTAATCGCTCTTCGCTCACGTTCTCGATATCTAGTAAATTTTGTATACGGATTCCCTGCTGAATTTCGCCAGCCGAAGATCAACTGTTAAAAAAACTGTTAGAACACTGGTACACTCTATTCTACACAGTATAAAACGACTGTTGAAAAAAAACTGTTAAATTGTATATCATCAGAAACCTTTTTTGGTCTTTTTGAACCAAAATTTACAAGAGGCAAAATTTAAGTTGAGAAAATTGTGAGGAAACTCTTAAAAGAACTCTAGCAGTCTTTTTTTATCCATGATAGGTTCGAAAGGAATGTAAAAAAGTAGCAGTTTTTTGAACACACAAAGAAAAAAAAAATTAAAAGCGTAGATTCCATCTAAAAAGGGTCTCCTAAAACATCACTTTTAACGTTTTTTTAAAGTTTACAAACCGTTGTGTTAAGAGAAGTAGAATTTAATAAAAAATTAAATGGTAGGAAGAGAAAACTAGGAACTAGCTGGGTCTTTAGATTATAGGTGATTTAAAAAAAAAGTGGAAGAATGAAAGGGGCAACAAAATAGACCTCGGGAGTAGTGGAGCGTATGAAATTGAATTTTTTTAAAGGCGTGCACTAATGAGTAGGTCTTCAATGAAAAGGAGGGGCAGAGAGAAATAGCCATCTCGGTTCTTGTGATATTAAAATAAGTCAATTCAAAGGACACATGTTCCACAGTAAAGACTGAGCCAGAAAGGAGATGACCTTCTGTAATCGAATAGGCAAGGAATTGCGAGTGATGGGCAAGCAGTTTCTAGCATGACAGCGGTTGACCTCTGGTGGGAATTTTTTTGTTTCCGGGCTCAGCTTTTTTCGAAGGGGCCTCGAGGGATGTTTTTTTTTCAAGATCTGAGGAGGACACGTAAGTTGAGCACACAGCACAGCAATTAAATTGCCGCGGTGCCCAAGAACAAGATCAGTCTTCGAGGATCAACCGAAAGTCTAGTCCGGTGAACACCTGTTAAATGAGCTTGAATATTTAAAGATTTAATTTTTCTCAGAGCATTTAATGGTATTTTGTTTAGTATTCTACACATGGTGATTATGTTTATTGGTGTTTCTTTTCCTACGACCTGATCATTGAAATTGGCAGGCAAAGAAGACAAAGAGAAATAAAGCGATCCTATTCGTGGTTAGTTGCAATGGACAAAGAGGGTAAGTATGATACTTATGATAGCTCAACTAATATGCAGCCCATGAGAGACTCTACGGCATTAGTCCACCATTTCCCCTGTTGTGTGTAAGAGCCATCCGTTTCAACCAATATAGTCGCTCCATTTTCACTTCGTCTTCTTCGTCTATCGCTTTGTCTGTGAAATTCAATTAGTAGCCCGCTGGATTAATATGTTTTCTTATTTGTCACTCCGTATAAATTTAAAATATTTACTTATGAAAAACTTGTAAGTGTTTCTTTTTAAAATTTTCAGAGATGCTAGAATAAGCTGCAAATGCACTTGCGTGGAAAATTTAAAGAAGTACTCATAGATCATTAAGAAAATTCGCGGATCGTCGGAAGAAATCACGCCAATTCTGGATGTTCATGAGCAGATTTTGCATGCACGTTTCTTATAGCTTCATCTGAGAGTGCCCATAGAGCTGATTTCGTAGTATTTATTAAAAAAAAAAAATTATGATATGGGAATAGCATAAAAATAGATTTGAAAGGGAGCAATCGCACCGTCTAGTGACGATATCTGGCGGCACTTCCTGTTTAAACAGATGTATTTCAGTAGATTGGATCATTTTGTCATATCTCCTCCAATAATTGTTCAATTTATAAGCCAAGGGTATCATTGTGCTTAGCTCACTCAGTGATTTTCACTTGAACACAAGTTCATCAAATTTCAGATTGTTGATGGAGTTCCATCAAATCTCATCATCAATTTCTCCATTCAACCGGAGTCAGTCCGACTACACCAGGCATTATGGCTCAATCATTTTTTCTAATTCTTCACTGGCAAAAAAAAAAAAAAAAAAAAAAAAAAAAAAAAANAAAAAAAAAAAAAAAAAAAAAAAAAAAAAAAAAAAAAAAAAAAAAAAAAAAATTGGATCTAGAGTCCGGACTCTTGAAAACATTGACAATAAAAATGACTCTCGATTCAATCAAGCTTAAATCAAAAGGAAATCCGCTCAAATTAAGAGGCTTGGTTTTTGATTTAAGCTAAATCCGATTGAATCAAGAGTATTTTTTCTTGTCGATGTTTTGAGTCTGGACTCTAGATCCGCAATGTGTTTTTTTTTCCAGTGTTCATTTTAATGGTTGTCCTGAACTCTCTGTTGGAAATATGGAACATGAGAGAAAATTAGGCAATGTGAATAGTTAGGCTGATTTCCGCTCAACCAACCCGGTTGCATGGTAGTAAAGTTCAACTATTACTTTCCTAACCACGCGTTTAAGTCTCCGGGGATCTGTGTGTTCGTTGCGGCGCCGCACAGTGGATCGAGTCAATCAGAGAGGTCGGACATGAAATTTAGGACTAAAACTGCAAATTTTGATGTTTATCTCGTCACATTTGAAATTTCAAGGGGTGTGTTCAGAAGAAAATTTTACGAGAAATCCAATGGACCCACTTTGAGAACCTCAAAATTTTATATACGGAGTCATAAGCTTTTAAAGTTTCCAAATTTTGTCCGACCTCTCTTATTGACTCGATCCACCATGCGGTGAGGCGAACTAACGAACGGTGGAACGAAGCTCAGGGAGATGTCGGATCCAACTTTTTTGAAAATCCTGATGTTTATTTTGTCAAATTCCAAACTTTAAGGAATATCTTCCATGGGAATTTTTACGAGAAAATCAAATTTATGAAAAACTACTGTTAAATTCTTGCGATTCATAGTGACGAAGATAAGCCTCTAAATTTCCACATTACACTGAGAAAAAAAGTTCGGTCATGAACCGAATGTACTGTGTTCAATATCTGCCGTATTGTTCGGCCGTAACCGCTCTCTTGGTTCTGGGAACTGTACCATGCAACTCAAACCGAACAAAACTGACGAAAAGCTCGGTTGTATGAACCGAGGCTACGGTTTCCAGAACCGAAAGAGCGGTTACACGAACCGAACGATACGGCCGATTGAACACCGCACATTCGGTTCATATGACCGAACTTTTATTCTCAGTGTATATCCGGCTTTGCTACCAGGGTTGGAACCTTACGAAGTTTTTCCAGCTGTACGTTCATGCCCCCAACAGAGAAATCTCTGTCCCGCCCATGTCAGCGACACCCGTGCACTGCAAAAACGTCGTAAACGCCATTTTACATTTTTTGGAAACAATGTATCATAGCAGAAAAACTTGTTACCTTGGGACAATGTTCTTACAGAATTATTTCGCAGATACTACCAAGAACTACAACCTGAAAACTTGAGGTGCGCAGGTAAAACAGCTCTTATTTTATAAAGTGTTAAGTTCCAAAAAACGAGGAAAAGTCTTGATGGATTTACGGCGTTCTTGCTTAGCACAATGCTGCCGTGCTAAGGAAGAACGCCGTATGAACATTCGAGAGTTGCCAAATTTCCCTCGATAAAATGTTTATTTTTGAGGAATGTTATGAATATTTATCTTTGAGATTTTCAGGAATTTTTGATGAAATCGCAAACAAAATTATCTCAAAAATTGAAAGAAGAATATTTTTAAGTTTTCCAGGAAATTCGTGCTATATCAAAGAAAATTTGGCAACGTCTGAAGGTTCATACGGCGTTTGTCCTTAGCACGGCAGTATAGCATAAGACTCTCAGAGCCCAATTTCCCCGCCAAGTAACTGGGTTTCGGCTCTTGGTTTTCGTGCGCTGTCTTCTCTACGGCCAATGGAGCATTTCAGAAACGGGGCCCAGTCGGTTACTGGTCTCCCTCGTGGTCAAGTTCACTGTCGCGCGCAGATTCGGTTTGGTCCTCCGGGTCAGTCCTGGCGTTCGCGTTTTTTTTCGTCCTCCAATTTTCCGCCGGATCACGAAGATTTGTGTATCCGCTAACTGCACACGATCATCAACCCGGCCTCCTGATATTATATCGTTTACTCGCGTTCTGAATGCAAAGATTTCGTGAATCTCAAAATAGTGGCGCAAATATAAAATTCGTGCAATCTTTCGACCGCCGTATTCTCTTCGAATAATCACGGTTTATTTTTCACCGGGTATCGAAAACAATATTTGTTTCGCTAAAAAAAGGTAAAATTTATACAAATGATGATTTCGTTTTATGATTGTAGAGATACGTCAAATGAACGAATTCCGGAAATCAAAGCAAAACTTTACGGATAAAAAAAATAAAACTTTTGTGAGACAAAAGTATGAAGTTTATGTAAAAGATAAAAAGTTATAATTCATACTATACACTAATAAGTCGCTCTTACAGGGCTTCTGTGCGTTCTGCGACACCCAACCGCAACTGACTGCGATCTTGCCAGAGCTCCTCCGGCAGATTGCATCTCCTCATTTCCTGCCTTATTCCCGTAATCCACGATTTGGCATAATTGGACTACATTTTGCAATTTGGACCTATAAATTCCAGCCCAGTTTAAAAACAACGTATGAGCCATTAGTTTTCCTATGCAAATATGTGTTTTTTCAGATGAGCCAGAATTTATAGGTCCAAATTGCAAAATGCAGTCCAATTCATTCTTGTATAATTCTTACAAAGTACAAACTTTTCCGTAAATAGTAAAGGTTAAACTGTTTTTTACAAGGTTTTTTATTGTGATTTTTTTAAAGACTTCAACAGATTCTTTAAGGCTTTAGGACTTGGTACTTGTAGACCTCAGAACTTCGGATTCGTAGAGGCTGAACCGTAATTCTTCTCCAATTAATACCTAACCCCCCCCCCCCACTAATAAGTCACTTTCTTTTTTTGATTTTAGAAAATTAATCACTACATGTTATTCTCAATTGCCTTGATCTCTTTTCTCAATTAATTTTATAGATGATTTGGTTCCTGGTGAGTTTGTTGAAAGGCAGTGCCCTGAAAAGTGCGTTTATCTGGTTCAACGTCTTCGTAATATCTTTGTTATTTTGGTACCGCTCAAGGAATTCAAGGGTGGATAACTTCCTAACGTCTCTACCAGGACCGTCATCTTATCCCATAATAGGGAGCATCCATCTATTTGTGGGAAAATCTAAGAGAGGTAATTCATGTTTTATTAATTTTTGCTTACTTTCGTCGTTTCATTCAAAAGAAAGTTTAACTTACATTCAGTGATCCGTAAAAAGTACAGTTAGTCTGACCTATACCCTATGTAAATCGATAGCTATACCTAGGAATCACGTATCTCGATTGCGACGTTGCAAAATCCTATATTCGATTTTCTTTCCACAAAGGGATAATCGCTTTTCTTTCAACAAAGGGAAAAGAGCAAAATTTATCGATTAAACTTCCAGAAAATATTCACTTCATGCAGAAAAAAATGAAATTTTCAATAAAATCTGGGAGTCTCTTTCCCTCTCTCCCTACTCCCCGCCAGAGAGTTTGGATCAGATATGGCCGGTTAACATCATCCTTATGAAGAGCAAATGGGCCCAGGTTATCCTCTTGTATACTGTTTCAACGCGGACAGTTCCTTTAAGCTTATTTTGATATCCCTGAAGATACGGTTTACTTTGTAGTTGACTATTCCTGCAAAAAATTTTGATATTTGACGGAGAAATTCCATCTTTCATCTCTTAAATAGTGCCACGATTTGCCAGACGAATCCAGGCATAGAGGATGAAAAAATGAAAAGCGAAATAGACACATAAATGCACATAAGAGTCGGTTGTGACAAAACTGGTGCAACCAATGCATTATTTTGATGGCAGTGATTTCAAAAATCTATAACGCCTTTATTTCGAGGAAAAAGCAATAATCATTTTTCAATCATTTTCAACCGCAAATGTGGAAGGTCAAATCGGTCTGAACCTACCAAATAATTTGCAGTTCCGATACGATCGGTAGTATTGTCCGTCAGAGAGACCAATGCAACAAGCACGACAATAGTGCAGGGTGGCATTAAACGTAAGAAAGAAATGAAAGATGTGAAATTTCAGTAAAATATTTAAAGAAATTTCACAGAGCTGTGAAATATTTCAAGAAATTTCACGGGACTGTGAAATATTTCAAGAAATTTCACGGGACTGTGAAATATTTCAAGAAATTTCACGGGGCTGTGAAATATTTCATAACATTTCACAGGGCTGTGAAATATTTCAAGAAATTTCACAGGGCTGTGAAATATTTCACGAAATTTCACAGCCCTGTGAAATTTCTTCAAAATTGAAGTAGCCAGTGTCACCCACCGAACCGGAGAGGACCTGTACACAAATTTTAGGGAAGATCGGATAAACGGTACGACCCCCATTTCGTGAACCCCGTCAAAACCGACAGAGATTATAAAATAAGATGTATTTCGTTTTTTTGGAATTTGTGTAGATTTTGAGATAGCAGAAAAAAGTCGTATGACTTCTGTAGAAATAATAACTTACTTTTTCTTAAAATTTTTTTAAAGAGTAATTTCGAATCATATCGCCTATGAAAATGCATCAACTGTTTTGAATGTCCTGTTCACCTTGGAAACATAGAAATGGGTCACAAAACAATGAACACATTTTGACTTGCGCATACATTTTCCCCCATCCGGTATAATATAAATGTAATTACTTTCTACTTTCTCTGTGTTAGATATCTTGAAAAATGTCATGAGAACAATGGATTATTACTCGCGATACAAGATGTTCAGGTTCTACATTGGAAGAAATCACTATGCAGTGCTTGCAGATCCTCAAACCATTCAGGTTAGTCGATGAAAATTCATAAACAAGTGAGTCAGTGATGAATCTGTTTTCGTTTCTTTTCCTGTGTTTCACGTTGTGATATTGCACGAAAATTATAAAATAAACTTTTATGTCAGATTTTTAATTATCACAGAATATGGAAAAAATCTAAAAATTAAAAAACTACGTATGATACCATTAGTTTGCCAGTCCAGTTCATTGGTTTATAATGAGGCTTGGTTTTTCTAAAATGTCATAATAATGGATCCCTACGAAATTTTCATTACCAACTTTTTTTTTTCCTTATTTTTTTGTAGAGTGTTTTACGGAACCCAAATTGCTATGATAAAGATGTCACTTACAATTTTCTTGGAATTCCGGATGTACTTTTCACTGCCAACGGTAAGTGTTTACTGATTCCTTTTCGTTTTGTTATGTTTACCTAAATACATTACATTAATATTGTTTATGCAGACATGAATGACTTTACAGAAAATTATGAGCATATTTGATGAGTTTTTTCTGCCAGTTTATTATGTGTGCTTTGGTGCACCCGATTTTCCCCTTTCCTCCATTCTCCCGCTCACCTATATATTACACCTTACATTTTATATGATACTTATGACAAAGAAGATAGTATTCATTACGATTTGTACAGTTTAGAATACATAGGTACATTCAAGGGGCTTGGAAGGCAAGGCGCATACGTGCAATTTTTGCTATTTTGAGAAATAGGTATGTGTTTGAAATTTCGAAATTACATGGATCCTTATGGCGAAGAGAAAGTTCAAACTGACTTTTTGGTGCTTAAAAATTGGAATTTAAGGGCGAATTTTTCACAGAATATGCATTAAGACTAGTTTTACTGGAAATCATTAAGATTTCAATCTTTTCTAAAGCTGCACTTATGCGCCTTGTCCTCCAAGCCCCTCATTTATACTGTATACCTCAATATTTATTTTATTTTATGTGCTTGAACTGACCGCCTGATAGTCTAGTTGACAGGCTTTTGACTAGTTTATTTTCCTATCCGAACGTTGAAGTCACCAAATCATCATTGGGAAGGATTCTTTATTTAAATTTAGATTTACCTTTTTCTTTCTCGATTTTGTCATTCTTCTATTGTTTATCTGTTGGCTTTTATTTTTACTTATTTTTTTCGAAGCTCCGCGTAAAGATCGAAAAAGAATCTGGTACTAACAGGCCCTCTCCGTGGCTCCAACACACGACAATCGCATTTTTCTCTCGAACTCTAAGAGTTTAACATGACAGAAGCGGGCCCAGCAATCTGGCAACACCGGATTTCCTTCATTTAAAGCTATGTTGAATAATCGATTTTTGTTGGAGCATCTTGCCCACCTGGCGGCCTGGCCCCTCCAAGAATCGATACATTTCCATAGGTTTAAATGGAGAAAATCAATGTTGCCAATCTGCTAGATCCGCCAATGTTGATTGAAGGAACCATCAAAGAAGTGTGAGAGCATTTCGGAGAACGAACGTTTGAGCTGTCCCTTCATTTAAATTTTATCGACGGATTATCGAGTAGTGGCCGTTATACGGTAGCGTATATCAAAGCAGCCCGTGAACTTGAAAGGAAAGTCATAAACACATATCGGTGCAGTGTGTGTGGCGCAGGCCGCCGTACTAAGAAAGAACACCGTGTAAACATTCGAGAGTTGCCAAATTTCCATCGGTAAAATATGTATTGTTGACGACATTCATGAACATTTTTCTATGAAGTTTTCAGATAGTTTAGATTAAATTGCGTACAAAATTGTCCGAAAATTTTGGAAAAAATATTCACAAATTTCGCAGTAATTTCGTATTTTATCGAAGGAAACTTGGCAACGTCTGAAAGCTCATAGGGCGTTTTTCCCTAGCACCGTAGCATGATGCCTGGACACTTGTACACATTCCCGAGTTGACAAACCAAGTCACAATCCAACCACGGAATGTAAAGTTAAAGAGTTCTGCGTACATTGTTGACGAATGATCCTCCCTAAATGATAGACGATACTTAAGTTTTTTTCTTCTTTCAAATGAGAATTCACCCCTCTTTTTCCTGAATAAGGTACGGCTGGCACATGATACGGCTATGCTAAATGGGAAGAGCTAGAAGTTTGTGAAATCTATTTTTTTCCTCTTTTGGCATATTTTGAATTCGTAGAGGTACAGTTACACTGCCGCGCCATGAAAAAAAGGGTGGATGAACATTCGGACTTTGCCAGATTATTTTAATACCTATTTGTTTTTAAGAAAAGTTTCGAGTGTTTTTCCACACAGGTGTTAGATAATGTTGCAAATACCATTTCCTGCAAAATTGAAAGAGAAAATGTATAATTCTTACAATATTACAATACAATATATTACTGCGTGCTATAGAGCTAATAGCTAACTCTGACGGATTTTAATCTTTTCACTGAATGTTTGGGTTCGAGCTTAATTTCTCTGCGAACAAGACAAATATGTTTGAGTGAAGTAAATAAGTGGCTTCGATTAAGCAGCATCATTCTTGATTCAAGCAAAAATATTTTTTGTTGGAACATCTGAGACGTTCTTTCAGTGAAAAAAATGGAGTTTTGGAGGAAAGTTCCTTTTCCCCCTTTTTTCTTTCTTTCTTTCTTTTCAGTCTTTTTTCTTTTTTTTCTTTCCTTTCTCTTTTTTTTCTCAATTTCCATGTAAATTTATTACTATTATTGCCTTCTTTAGAGGTGTAAATGGCCTTAGATGCTAAAGCACCGCTTTAAAATAAAATTATATTACTACTACTACTTGATTTCCATGTTAACACACAGAGGTGTAAATGGCCTTAGATGCTAAAGCACCGCTTCAAAATAAACTTATCTTACTACTACTACTACTACTACTTCCTTTTCTTTTTTTCTTTTTTTCTTTTTTTCTTTTTTTCCTTATTTCTTTTTTTATTTTTTTATTTTTTTATTTTTTTTGTAAATTTATTACTATTACTGCCTTCTCTAGAGGTGTAAATGGCCTTAGATGCTAAAGCACCGCTTTAAAATAAAATTAGTATACTACTACTACTACTACTACTACTACTACTACTACTACTACTTTTTTTCTTTTTTCTTTTTTCTTTTCTCTTTCTACTTTTTTTCTTGTTTTCTTGTTTTGTATGTAAAATTTGATTTCGGAATTTGTGTCTGCTATAGGTGAGCCTTGGGTGAAGGAGAGGAAAGCGGCAAGTCCAGGGTTCAGTCCGCGGATCATATCTGCCATGGATCCCATCTACTCGGATCGGACACGCGGTCTCATGAGTGCCCTCAAGGAAAGAGCCGCCACAGGAGAAGCGTTCAACCTCATCGAGCACATTCTTCCAATGGCTATCGATACTATTAGCGGTGAGTTGCATAGCTCTATTGCCATGTTACCAGGATAAAGTAGTTTCAACCAAATTCTCGAAATCGAAATTCCTTCGAAATGTATAATGAAAAATGGCGATATTTCGAAATTAAGTTGCAATTTTTTTTACGCTTTTTGGGAGTTTGAATCGCCATGGGATCATCAACATCTGAGCGATTATCCTTAATCTTGTCGCAAATTTATCTAAAAAAATCGCCTTAGATAAAATCGGAATTTTATCTCAATTTATCACGATTTCTTGTAGGATTATATTGCGATAATGGGTCAGTTGCGCTGATCACAGAATCGTGTTTTCATGCTTATTCTTGCAGATCAATTAAAAATAATAAGATCCGTCCAAGCAGCATTTTCCGACGTCATTCACGTGGTGGATGGCGTCAAAAACCGGAATTTTCAAAGGACGATATCTCGAACGTAGAAAGTTACTGTTTGGACAGATCTTCTTATTTTTTAATTAATCTACAAGAATCAAGCATCAAAATACGGTTCTGTTACCAGTGCAACTGGCCCATATGCCGTCGAGCAAATCCCAATTTTATTGCAAATTCATATGACGAAATTGAAATTTTTAAGCCGATTATATTGCAATAAATCGACTTCAATAAAATCGCGATACACTTTCCGATCAAATCACGATTCATCGCGATCACTGCTACTTGCAGACTCACGAAATCGAAGAATCAAGACTCAAGTAATCGGTTATTAAGTTGTTCGTAGCGAACACCATAGTAATCGGTTATTAAGTTGTTCGTTGCGAACACCGTAGTAATCGGTTATTAAGTTGTTCGTTGCGAACACCATAGTAATCGGTTATTGAGTTGTTCGTTGCGAACACCATAATAATCGATCTTTTCTATAGGTTTCAATGTCGGATCGATCGACTCATCGCAAAGTACGATACGCCGCGCCGTGCCACGATACAACGAAATTCCAGTTCTCACAAAACAAATAGGTGAGACAACTGCGCTTGACCATCACAGAAGTAATTTTTCATCTCGCGCACTCAATCTATTGTTCCTCGGATCGAGAGAATCGTCACCGGAAGAGAAAAATTGGGGAAAGCCTTGAAAATTGGACTTATTTCTGCCAAACAGAACTAAGTGCATTACAACGTGAGCCCTGTTATGCATATATTCTTATGGGTCTCAGGGCTCATGTCTTAATGCACATAGTCCCGTTTGGCAAAAATACGTCCAATTGTCTTACTAGTCCGAAGTATCAATTTTGGCAGACCAAAAACATGTTGACTGAACTGGGTATACATCGACGGTGAAACGAAAGTGCGTAGCTCGGTTTGCTACACGTGCACAAAAATAACAACATTTTCGGTCTCTGTTGACATCCTAAAGGATTGGAGGGACATGATCAGCCATATTTGCTCTGGTCGTAAAAATTCTACACTACGTCATTGATTATAATCCTATACCTCTTCTTTTTCCTCCTTTGCAGATACTTTCATGGGAGTTTCGCTCGACATGCAAGCTAGAGACAATGCAAAATACGTGCAAGCATTTTTACGGTAAGTACATAAGAAACGATGCAACTTTTTCTTCTTTTATATAAGACAAATCTTCTAGGAGATCTTTTAGGGAACCTCTCCTCACTACGAGTTTACAAACGCAAAAAACTTAATGAATCATACAGTTTTCATACCCGAGCAAAAATCAGCCTTGACCTAATTTTTTAGAGAGTTTTAATTTTTGTACGCACTTTGGTGGGCAACTATTTTTAATAGGTTACTTATAATCAGCAATATATCATGAATATGTGAGCGGCAATTTGAATTGTTGAAAAGTGACTCCGTCTTTTCTTCCGATTTTCGTTCTCGACTTTTTACAGCGCTATCGTATGACAAATCGATGGTTAAACTGTACAAGCACTGCGTACTGCCAGCCATAAGAAATTCCTTAATTGGAAAAATTCTCACCGTCATTCCTTAGAAAATGCCTAGAATTTCCTTCCCTATGTGGAAATTTTAAGGTGTGTCAGCCCCTCTTCCTTCGATAAAATAAAATGAGAGCAGGCGGCTGATTTTTGACATTGATAGACAAAGTTATAGACAAAAAGGACTTAGGGAGTATGGAGCGATCCCATTGGTTAAAACGTGTGGTCCCTAGACTAGGGGAGAAAATGATGGACTAACTGTCGGGTTTCTCGTGGGTTGCCGTTAGTTAGTCTATTACCTACTGCATGCTTTTGTCCATTGCAACCATCCGCTTCCACCGAAAGGATCCCTCCATATGCGTTATGTCTTCTTTGTCTATAGCTTTGTCTATCAATATCAATAATCGGCCCGCAGATATCCTTATAGGCATCGCAAACAAATTACGCGCCATCGTAGTTTCACCGTCAACATATTTTGTGGGAACTTTAAGACGATTTAGGTCCTAAGTCTTTCTTATGCACCACAACGAAATTATGAACTAGGTGCTCCACGGTATTATGTACATACATATAAGTCGCTTTACAGCACTCCCTCGCGCTCTACGACTCCTAACGTACGATCTCCTCGGTATTATGTGCAATTTTTAAATAATCCCTCAGAATGTCCATAGCTTCAATTGATTTTACGTGTTTTAAGGAGTCACTATGTATATTTTGGAAATACTGATTCGTTGTTTTTTCATTCACAGAATACCAGATCTTTTTATTGAGCGTGCAATGATCCCGGTATACCAACCTGAAATAATCTACTCGTTGACTGGAAAGAAAAAAGAATACCAGTCGTGTTTAAATTTAATGCTCTCAATGACTCGAGAGGTAATTTTCGTCCAACAAATCATACATACATTCGAAAAATACATCTCTGAATGGAGGGGTTTAGAGGACAAGGCGCGTAAGCGCAGGTTTTGAACAAATTGAGATATTCATTTACTCAACTAAATCTAGTTAGAGAGTATAATCTGTGAAAAATTAACATCTAAAATCCAACTTTAAACACGTATTTCTTAAAATGGCAAAAACTGCACTTATGCGTCTTGTCCAAAAAAATTACCAAAAAATTCACCTCAGAACGGACGAGTAAATAAATACCTAAAGGCGACCACTCACGGACGCAGCAAAATGTGTGATCGTCTGCAACGGAAAATAGGATTTGGACGTATTTCTACCAAACAGACCTACGTGAAGGTCAGAAATATGGGGTGTGCTCGTTAGTTCTCTTTGCGTAAGAGTGAATGAGAATAATAAAGCGCCAGTGACGTCAGCGGTAACGAAGCCGCTCGCCTCCGCAGACCCCATCCTCCCGCCTCCGCATAAACTCATGAGCCCTGTCCACAACGCTCTCTTGCCATGCCCGCGGCTCATGAGTTCTGCATTCAGTTGGCACATAGGTCTGTTTGGTAGAATGTAAAATCCCGCTTTGCCAATTCTTCAAAAGGAATCACGTCCACTTTTAGATTGTTTCTTATGCAGCTTCGACAAACACACCCCATATTTCTCACCTCCACATAGGTCTATTTGATAGAAATACGTCCATTTCTTCCACGGATGCGAGATTTTCAGAGGATCTGTCGAGTTGGGTCGAAAAATCCGGATATCGAAAGAAAATAATTCTCTCTAATATCCGATGAAAAATAAACTGTGAGCAGTCTAGTTGATTTTTTTGTCGATGCAGAGTTCATTTGAATTTGACGTATTTGAGCATATTTTTATCCCGAAATATTCATAGAATAATTCATGAACAACCCAGCCACTCTGGCACCATTAACTCAAGTTTGGGATTTTGTGGCCAGAGGTCCCTTTTCCACTGGCTGGTCACCAATAAATAATTTGTGGATCTGGTATTCATAAGGAATATTATTTTATAAATGGTGAAGTGGAGAGGGGATGCAAACCGTTGTAAGTTAATAGAAATACCTAAACTTTATACAGTGTTACTGTATGTGACTTTATTACATACCATCAAGTAGTGTTCCAAAACTATAGCAATGGAATACAGAGAGGGAGAGAAAGAGAAAGAAATCCTAAATTTAATGTTTTCACTCAAAACTACAAAAATACGAAGTTTCAGCTCTTTTTAATTTAGGAGAAGGGAAGTGGTGCATGAATATAGAGTGTGCGCAATTATTCAGAAATGGACTCATTGCAAGTTGTTTGAAATGGACTTTTTTCGCCAAAAAAAAAAAAAGGAAATACTTCTTATGACGCATTTATAACAACTCATTTTTACGTATGGAAACGTAACACACGGACACTGTTTCTGAGACGAGCCAAAAAAGTAAGTTCATACTTACGTAGTTCGGTCCATTAAGTCTCAACTCTAAGATTCTGTTTGAAATTTATGTACAATTCTTCCTCACCCGAAAGGTCCTGGAGAAGAAGATGGAGCATCGCGCTGAACTTAACAAAACTTCTGGCGCAAGTTATGAGGCTGGTAGAAAACTCTACTTAGATATTCTGTTGGATAAATTTGAAGCATCAGAAAAGAAGGATATGAACCTCTTGACCCATGAGGCGGGCGAAATGTTTGTCGCGGTAAGATGTTCACTCGTGAGTTTTATCTCATTGTCACTTTTTTATGTCATCTTGGTAGAGGGCAGTTTTCGCGTGGCTTTTGACCACCTCCTTCATTATTATTTCAAGAGAAAATTGTCCAACATTGTCCCTTGAAAATTTCATTTTCTTAAAAACAGTTTTTGTGCTGGCTACGTGAAGAATATTTTGTGAAAATTTCCATAAATAATGTTGATTTGTTCTCCATTAAAAAATAAAATATCAATAGATTGCAAAAATGTATATCTCGGTTGCATTGGTTCAAAATCCACGCAGTTACATTATTTTTTGGAAAAAAACCCAACCAACATTATGGCTTTGAATTTCCACAGAATATTCATCACAGAGAATAAAAATCACCGAAGTTTTCAAGAAATGACGTTTGGTAATTTTCCACGGGAAAAATAAAGTGAGAGAGGAAGTTTGCAGCGCCGCAAACTGAGATGCGCATATCTGCAGTTTCACCATCGATATGAGAAGAGATTTGGACGTATATCTGCCAAACGGAACTATGAGCATTATGGCGTGAGCCCTGAGACCCATAAGAATATATGCATAACAGGGCTCACGTCATAATGCAGATAGTTCCGTTTGACAGAAATACGTCCATGTAATACACTGCAGTCGAGATGCGTGGATGGAGAATTCCGCCATCGAAATGAACATTGGGACACTGAGCCTTTTCTAGGCTCTGATAAAAAGATAGCAGAAAGTTAGTAAAATTATAAGAAGACCGATATTTTTTTCACAAAATTTTGGAAGCACCGTGGATGTTACCAAATGGAAAAAAGTGGATATCTGATTTAACAATTCAATTTTTAAAAAAAAGTGACTGCAACGTCTCAAAAGTACATTTTACAACAGTGGAAAGCTAATTTAACCACGGGAGTGGTTGAATTAGCATTTTTATTGTTAATTCTACATTGAAAAATAGCAGGCACTTTTTTCAACTACAAAATTTTTAAATCAGCAATTTTATTTTTTCCGTGATGAAATAAAACAATCTCGGAAAGAATATAAAAAAAACATCAGCTGTTCTTTCAATGGTCATTTCATGTTTTGATCCTTTTTCCTGTAGATGATCAAAATTTGCATGAAATTTGCGTTTCATTTTTGGTGTCGTTTACCAGATTTTGTACCTCGATTTTCACAGGGAAGCGTGACGGTAGCCACGATGGTGAGCTGGGTTTGTTTGCTGAGTGGTGTCTTTCTTGAGGTGGGCGACAAACTTCGCGAGGAGATAGATTCGTGCGTGAAGGATGCGCCGAACGCAACTATCGAAGACTGTGCCAAACTAGAATATTTGGATCTTGTAGTCAAAGAGGCGCTTCGTCATTTCACAGTCCCGTTTATCTCGCGAGTGGCCAAAAAAGAGATTCAAGTACCTGGTTAGTATAAAAGTTTTTGCACAGGTTTTTAAATACAGGGTGTCCCGGGATTATACCGCCAAACTGAGTTTGGGAAAGGGAATGGGTCAGTTACGCTGGTCACAGATTCGTGTTCTGATGCTTGATTCTTGTAAATTAGCTCAAAAGAGTGAGGGCTGTCCAAACCGCAACTTTCAACGTTCAATATTAAGCGAGATATCGCGCTTTGAAAAATTCGGTTTATGACGTCATTCACAGGTTCAGATTAAGGGGGTGGCCACATGGGCCGCGGCCCATGGCGGCAAATCGTAGGGGGCGGCAAATTTTGCAATCTTTTTTAATGTAGGTATCAAAAAAAGAGGAAAACATCGGATTCAGAAAATAAATTACCAACGAGAGAAGATGACAAAATCTCTCATTTCCTGAGAGTAAAAGTAAAGTAATTTCTAATTTTGTCGTCTTTCGGTGTTAGAAGAGACAACACCTTTAATTAGTCGAGTTAAGAGAGACACCAAACACGCAATTTGACCTTAAGCGGAACGGCGCAGAGAGCAATGACGACGAGGACTGATGAGATGAAAAGGAGAAGCTCTCTGCGCGGCGGTCGTCATGAGACGCATAGTGCCTACAAGATTGCTTGAATACTTCACGCATTGCGTCAAACACACTGCGGTCAGCAGCAGTCGGCTTGAAACGCACACCGCCTACAAGACTGCATGGATACTTCACGCATTGCGTCAAACAGTGCGGTCAGCAGCGATCGGCTCTCTTCTTTAAAAAATATTTTGTCCTCTTTTTGCAGATATTGGAACAGTTCCTGAGAATACAAGGTTCCTTGTTTTCTTGTTGAATCTCCACCATGATGCAAGATATTGGGAGAAACCCTATGAATTCTACCCAGAACATTTCCTTCCTGAAAACGTCGAGAAGCGACCCAAATGTGCATACATCCCGTTTTCTGTAGGAATGCGTGATTGCCCAGGTCAGTTAGTTGTTTCGTAGGTAAACATTTTTGACTTGAGCCTTTGGAATTTCAAGAAAGGCACAACTCTTTGGAATACTGCCGAATTTCCACCGACATTTTGCATGGTTTAAGTAGGCTAATAAATAAAACTTCAAATATGTTCAGGTACCTAACCTACATGTGCCATTCTTAAAAATTTTTAATTGCACACGTTATTGTATTTGAAATAGAGCTATGGAAGGGGGAGGGCTACCATCCGGAGGGTCTGATTAATTTTCAAATTGCGTTATGCGTATTATAATTGCAATATCTTCAAGAGAACATCACCCTAATGCGAGCGACTCATTAATATTTTTCGATCTATGATTTCAGGAGCAAAATACACGATTCAGACAATGAAAGTTCAAGTTGTGCGCATTTTGTCTCAATTCAAAATTTCATCGGCAAGAATGAAACCTTGGAAGAACCCATATTTGGAGCTTAGTCTAGGATTTGGTTTCACAGTTGTTCCTACTCGTGGTTGGCTCGTCACAGCTGAGCTAAGAAATCAGATCTCCGACTAAATTTCAATGCAGTTGCAAAACAACTGCGGAACTGCGATTTGCCCAAGTATTATTAAAATTATATTTACGTTGATATCAAAATTTGCAATTCTCTCTTAAAACAAGAGCGATGCGCTGTTCTTCTTGTTAGCGTATAAGCGGGAAAATTCCTTGGAAGCCGTCCATTATACAGTCAGGGTTTTTTCCCTGACTTTTTGACCCCTCCCCTTCCTGTCATATTTTTCGTGGCAAGTAAATGCCAGGCAGGGCCAAAATTACTTACCTCCCTCTAAAAAGTATGTTAGGTTTATCAGTCAATCGCTTCTTCATACTGATCACGAAAAAGTCGAATCAATCAACATTTTCTCAGTATTTGTATATTATTGGTTCGAGCGATCAGCTTCAGCTGAATTCCTCTCCATCTCACAAGGTACCCCTTAGCGTCAGTTATAGACCAGAGCTAATTCCACGGGAACTCCCTAATTTGGAATCAATGACTCAATTTCAAGTTTTTGTGGATAATGGCCCCTGTTCCTGTCGGGTTTGGTCATATTCTTAGAATACGCAGTGAAACGTTAAATCAAATGGGGAGGGGGGCTCCGAAAAATTAATCCCGAAAAAAGCTTCCTTTTGTAGAAATATTAAAAACTTGTGATCATTTCTCAGATCCACCATCAGCGCGATAGGCTCATTGTTTAGTCAAGTATCAAAAGTAGAAGCATGTATTAGGTGTAAAATAAAAATGAAATTACCTCCATACTTTGTTCCTAATTAGATTATATTTTACTTTCGGGATCAAAAAAAGCGATAGAGAATTCTACGCCTTGGACTTCCTTCCTATTTTAATTTCCAATCGCTCTGAGTTTAAGTAACAAGCATTATAGGTTTCTTTATTAGTTTACATGCGGTGAGTGAGCTGAGAATTGAAATTTCTTCCATAGAAGAGGGATTACTATAAGCCTGAAACCGAATGAAACAAGTAGTGCGATTGCTAGGTGGATTGATTCTCTGTATTGCCGGTTTTTCACTGGATTGAAAGCGTGAATGTTAAGCATGTATGTTCGAGTTCCTGAAAATCCATCCAATGTAAGATAGAAAAAAGGATAATGTTAACCACGATCCAACTAGCCACTCATGCTGTTTCGCACATTCTAGTCTTATCAAAATCAGCCGATCAATAAGATATTTAAAAAATCCGTTACGGGACATTAAAAAGAATGTGAAGTGTGCACATATTGCATATTGTAAACTCGATATTTTTTCCAAATTTTATAGGTACAATCATGTACTTTCGCTCGCTCAAATTTTCTGTTATTTTCGAACATTGTGAATATTAATAGAAGATATTTTACTCTGCTTTTGTTGATGATCAATTTTGTTCTTATTGTATTGGTAGAATCCGAATAAAACTCAAACATAGGAAAGAAAATGCCATGATCTCTTATTAATGAATGCAATCCAGTTCTTAAAAAAGTTCTTCAAATGATAGAGGCTTCTCAGCGAGGTCTTAGCTGGGGGATTTTCGCTCCCCCCCCTTCGCCATAGAGGTTAGCGGCTCCAAAAAAAAAAGTTACGTGACGGTATTTAACCACTCGTTAGGTACCACTAGACACACGTGAGAGATAAAAAGTCCCTTGCCTTGCTCCACCCCCTAAAAAAAAATGCTAATTATACTGATGCAGATGCTTTTTGGAGATAGCTTTTTATTATCGGCGCGCAATACTATATATAATTTTTTAAGTTGATAAAAAATTCTGGAAAAACATCATTGATGTGGACGGAAACGGCACAAAAAGGAACAGGGATCAAACTGCAGATTTATAGGAAATGCATTTTCTCCTAACATTAATTATATTTTTAGAGAACACAGTACTTATTCTGTATAATAGTATAATAGTATAGACATGGGCTTTCTTTATAGGCGGATGATGAAAATTTTCTATGATTTTGTTGCGTGAGGACTTGTGCATAAAGAAAATTAAATTCTGTGCATGATCTAAAAACTATTTAATTACGAAGTGCTCTCGAGTTGTTAATTTTTGGACAGGTAGAGTTGATTGATCCACTAATTTTTCTCAAACTTTTTCATCATTTGATATTTTATTGATACGATGGTGCCAATAATCCACCCAAGTGTTACGTTATTAATGTTCTATTGCCGTCCACTTAGAAACACTGAACAGAAAAATGCTCAGTTGCATCCCATCGCATTGAAGGCGCTGTTCGAGTTTCAATGCTCTTCAAATGGATTGCATTTTGCAAAAAGGAACCACTAGCATTGCAATGATGCTAAGATTGTGCAACTTCATCTTTTGCAATAAAATTGCGGAAATCGTGAAAAACTATGAAATTTAGATGGTAATTTTTGTCTTAAATTTACAGTTTTTAGCGAGTAAAATAGAAACTATTAATGGATAATCGGGTTTTTCCTCCAAGACCAAAGAAGTTGCACAATCTTAGCAACATTGCAATGCTAGTGGTTCCTTTTTGCAAAATGCAATCCAATTGATCCGTAAACCGCTCCAACCATTTTGTTGATAGATTTCACCTATTGATGCACGAAACCAATCATGATTTTCATTGATTGAAAGAACATTTATTCAAAAAGGTGTCCAGATGGTAACAATGGTCATTTCCTATCAGAATCAATATGGAGGCATTCCGTTTTTGCATTGCGTTTCGCACCGTGCCTTTGAAGATAGATACACAATTTCGGTTTTAACAATGATAATTAATTCTGCAGTATTAATTGCAATATTACTTGTATTTTCATGCACATTGCCAAAAAAAAAAAGGCTATCCGAAAATTACCGATGCTCAATGATCGAATAAAAGACTCATTAATTGTGTTAGTGATCAGAATGATAAAATAGCATGCTTTTAAAATATTTGACAAAAAATACTGTTTAAAGGAATTGCAACATATTACTAGCAAACTGCAGGCTGTAAGGGAGTCACATTTTCACGACGTTGCTGAACATTGATGTGGATAACTCGGCGTCTAAGTAACAATGTTCCTACAACATTACTTTGTACCCAAAGTACGGGACGAATGTTGACATCAGTGCTTTCGACGAAGCACCCTCACTGCACTGTAAAAAGTAAAAAGAAGGACATTCAGTATTTTGTGCCGGTCAAATTGGTCTTAAATTTAAATTACATTGGCATGGTGGTTGGAGCGCGCAACGTCAATTTAGTTGAGATTGGTCAGTACGCAACAATGCAGCACCAACGGGGTTAGCTGGCTTGAATTAATAGTCTCTTTACAGCATGTCACACACCACGCAAGACTGCGCGCTACACACCGAAAAAAATGAGGATATTGAATTAACATCCTCATCGTCAGAAAAAATGTGCGACGACCTCAAAAGTCTGCTTCAACCGCCTCTGGCGGAAACGCTCCAGCAGTTTTTTAGACTTTTTTATGTGTCCGTCGCGATTTTCGTATGATATTACGTGTGGCAAGTCTGTTAACATGTATCTTTGGCGGGCAACAGACCTACTCATCACGAAGTTTTGCACCACTGCATCAGTGTCGATCTGCAACCTACATGCATCTCTTTTAAGTAATTTCGCGGCATACTCCACCCACATATTAGTCACTCAGACTTTCATCTGTTTCCTACTGAGGAGACCATTTTTTTTGGATGACCCTCACATCATGTATCAATCATTATTCCTTAATAATTATTATTTCTTATTATTCATCCCCGTTTTCCTGCACCGTTTTTTACCGTATGAGCGAAAAAAGAGGCTATACTTTGCCTCGTCCACGGTCACTTATCAGGTAGTTGCGGCCCGCGACGCGACGTAACGGTGTATGAAATCCGCGACAGCTCTTTCTAGGCTAGTAAGCACGGCTCATTATGAAGGACTAACCTGCGTGATGTTAGACCAGAACTTAAAATTTTTTTTTCTCCCATTTTGTTTCCTCCATACGAAACTAATTCGTTTTTCCTTAAACCAAAATAATTAGATATTTTTGAAATTTCATAACCGATGTGGCGCTTAGTCAGTTGCGGGTACTCAACAGTAGCGCAAATTTGGCCCTATCGAGTTAATAATTCTCGAGAAGTTATTTTCATTTTCCTAAAAATATTGCTGGGATCCCAATTTCCGTGTCCTCGACGTTCCGCACGTGGAGTAATTCAGCTTTTTATCATCTATCCTTTTTAAACGAGGTAGTTTGTTCTGCTTATATGCAGTTTCAAAAGTTTTAAATTTGTGCCTTCTGTTCATCATCATATCCGGGTTTGGAGCCTTCGAAAGCCAGTCGGCCTAATTGACTCCAAGATTTACCATGGTAAGAGCGATTATTTTTTGCCACCTACACAGCAGTCTTCCTAAGAGTTAATTATCTTTCACTTTCTAAAAAAGGTTTGGATGAGTTCGATATCTCTAACTCAAATTGGTGTTGTGCACCAAATTTTCGGTTCTGCACATGCAAACTTATTGGAGTACAGCTCCAATGAGTTTTCCGTTCAGTACCAATATTGGTGTACAAAATCAATTTGGTTTAGCTGTGTCAAAATAATCCATCCCCTTTTTTCCAGTGCTTCATTCAATTCCTCCAACATTCGGACCCTCGCCTGTTTCTTGACGAGTTAATCAAAATATTTAATACATTTTTATTACGATTACGATCGTAATTAACCGACTTGAATAGTAATACCTATTTTTGAAGATATGGGGTCGGCGGATGATGCCCTAGTATGCGGAGGCTATCGCTATGATGTTCAGGGGAACGATTTTTACTGAGCTGGGTCGAAAAATTCAGAGTTTCGGTTCATTTAATTTTCTCCCAGTAAAAGGTGTTAAGTTTTATCAAAATCTGACAATTTTCATCCCGGAGTAGGCATATAAATTCCACTTAGCATGTTCTCAAAGCTACGTTTTCTGAATTGAAAACTGCAAAAGCGTCATACCCCCGGTTTACTTCGACATTCAGGTCAGTTTTTTGGCCGAAATGTTCGTGGATAAAACACTTTTCTAAACTCTGGCATCGCTGATTCACTTTTAGGTTTTTTGGCTCTCAGATCCTTCATCATAGACGATCAAATTTGATTAATTTTATCATAACATCCATGTATTTCTTTATTTATTGTTTGTCCTATATTTTTTTCATTTGGTGAAAAAAAAAAAATACTTGTGCTAATGTATGAAAATTAATAGTTCATATCTATCTAACCTCTGTACCATGTATAGTTTAATTTTTCCCCATAAACAATCATCTCCCCTCTCTCGGAGTTGAAAAACTACTAACCTATTAACGACATACTTAATTCCTCACCGCAATTGATTTTAGATACTTTGGTCCCTGGTGAGTTTGTTGAAGGATAGTGCCCTGAAAAGTGCATTCATCTGGTTCAACGTCTTCGTAATATCTCTGTTGTTCTGGCACCGATCGAAGAACTCAAGGGTGGATAAATTCCTCTCGTCCCTTCCTGGACCGTCAGCTTACCCAATAATAGGGAACATTCATCTATTTATAGGAAAATCAAAAAGAGGTAAGTAATGTTCCAATATAGTTTACGGAAAAGTACACTTTTTTTGCATAGACGGTGCTCATGTTGCCGGACACTTAATAAGATAATAATCATGTCCCGTTCAAAAACGGACGTTCCTAAGAATGAGAGTGTCTTGTCTAGTGTGAAGAGGGAGAAACAGCTTACTTTAAAAAAATCGGGGAAAATGTCATTTTTTTAAGCTCATGCTGAAGAAAGAAAGAACCCACTAGAAGATGACGTAATTTTTCAAAGGGGCGCACTGGTGCAGTAGGGGTATTCCAAATTTCCAACTATTGATTAATAATCGTAGATTGGTATACCCTTCGATCGTCGATGACCAGTATTTACGTTCATGCGACACTTCAAACCCAAATTTTAAGCGTATAACTTCGCTAGTGACCAGGGTTACTAGCGTTATCATTACACCAAAACCGGGGAGGGGGGGGGCGCAAATGACTTTTTTTGCTTAAAATAACATGACACCAAAATAAACAAATAAATAACACGATGAAACTATGTACCGTTAAGTTAAAACATGTAGCTTGTTTCCTTCTCGTCAGCCATTTTCCTTATTTTTTTGTTCAAGCCCTCTGAAACGCAAGGGGGGATGTGCATTTACTCCCCTTCCCCCCATCCAAATGACATAACTGCAGGTTAAACTGTCCATAGCACTTTGGCCTCGGCACACCTCGGTTATCTCCAGCGGGCTGATTATTGAAATTGATAGAAAAAGCGATAGACAAAGAGGAAATAACAAGTATGGAGCGATCTTATTGGTTAATTTAGGTAGTTCTTGTAGACTAAGCATATAGTACATAGAGTCGTGATGTAAGTGGGAGAGCTGGCGCCATGTTCTGCTCGACGAGTTCCGAGCCCGGTGTGCGCCGAGTTCGGGTCGCTTTTTCGATACATTTTCGATCCA